CAATTCAACATCTCGATTACTGTAGTTCCTGAACTCATGGAGAAAATGTCCCCAAAAATGTGCTTCAAAGGGGGTTGATGAATATAGAAAATTACAAACAAGTTACTTACCACAAAGAAGTCACGATCTCTTCACGAATTTCTCGCCGAGTTCAACGAGGCATGACAATCACAGAGACGAATCCTGGCCATTTTTCTATGCCTGGTTTGCCTGCAAAACACATCAAAGTCCTTCACAAAACATGCCGCACTTGATGTTCCTGCCACGCCCACGCATGTGCCAAGACGTCCGTTTCGGAACAGCTCAAGCGACTGTGAAAGCGGCTCACAAATTAGCGGATTCTTGTACAAATAAGATCATGTTCGAAGGCTGCAGGTCCACCGGAAGAAGAAGAAAATTTTATAATGTAAACTAATGCATTATTTAACGCCTTGCTCTGATAATGCCGTCAAACAAGATCGCTATTTACAACATAAACAAAGAAGTAAACTTGTACCACTCAAATTCTCTGTACTTTGATAAATATTTACACTATTCGAACAAATGGAACAATCACATGCGACAAATAGGACACATCGAAAAACCAATGTTATCATCGACCGACTCGCTGCACTACCCAATCCTGCTGACATAATGGACACCTATTATTTTGTCGTACCCACTGACTCATGCAGCAATTATGAAACGCATGATTACAATCTCCCCACACCACTACACAGTCTGTGGACGAAGCGTCCGCTTGGCATCGAAGACATTCCTCCATTCAGCTGAACGCGGCAAATGGCACATGTGTCACAGTCGACGTCCCACGCCCACGTAGCCAATGCATTCCATTTCTGAACATAAGCAGTAATGCTAGGAATGTAAAGCATTACTTGAATCATATAAAGTATGGTGTTGAATAACAACTACAACATATGGTGACAGCTACTTTAGACTACCACTGAATTAAAGTAAAGCATAAGCGAAGAGAAAACACGGAACAGTTTTCTGAAGGTTTGGCGCCTGCTCAAAAAAAAGTGAATAGTAAGATGAGGCAGCGGTAAGAGGTACCATGACGAGCTGTAGTAGGTTATTACATTACATTACATATGCAAGAAGGTGGAGGACTTGTTTTTTAAAACCACAGAACTTCGCTTATGAACGTGTTCTACTGCAAATTCCTCATTTCCAAGGGCAAGCTAGGGGTATGGACCCTTCTATGGGAGCAAAGATTTTTAACACCCAAGCTATGGGTAATGATTAGTCTACTTGAACTTTCCCCAGTGGTCCTGCCGCGAATGGTTCTAAAGTAAAGACGATTAGAGGACAGCGCCTGGCTCGCCCCAAATCCCAAAGAGGAAGGTGGGAAACCCTAAAACTACCCCTCGAAAAGGGAGTCAGCAATGAGTGAGCCAACTACATGTGTACAAAGCTCGAATGTGTGAAATCCCAGTAAATCATGAGCCACTGTTTAGGCGAGAGAGCGCAAGCGGGAGCATCAGTTGATACGATTAAGGACCGAGTTCAAGTAGTTCGTCGACCGGCAACATCGCGTCAGATTCACGGAAACGCTCAGTTTCCCAAAGCGAAGCGGAGGCGGCTATATTAGAGGAACCTCCAAGTGACGGCAATTCTCATTCTCAGTCTGGAATTGTCCCTCTTCATTATCTAATAACCTACACACTACAGTCGCCACCATATTCTCTCCCAACAGCACAAAGATCTCAGTTCGCAACCTAAACTAAGTTCAGCACGCGGACGCTGTACATAACTTTTCCAAAAGAATATAAGAGACGCGACCAATTGATAATTACGGCTGTACGATGAAAACTGAAGTGGGAAGCATAAAACTCCAGTGGTAAAAAAGCATAACATAAAAGCACACCTTCAATACAAACGGTCTTGACTCTGTCGGCTGTGGTGCGCTACCAATGGTATTTCGCAAATGCCATTTCCAACATATCTGTGTATTCGTTCCCGATGTTTCCGAACGACATCTCGTTTTCTCAGAATAAAACTCATTAGAATATTCAAATAAACTCTAGGTAACGGAACTTCAACACATAAACCAACTACAGAACCAGGATGAAAAAAACATACGCCACAGTCAAATTAACCAGCCTCGCTGTCCACATCGCCCAAGCTAAAATTAAGATACAGCAGCTTGAACGAATTCACAAGAAGAGGATCCTCCTGGCGTGAACTTTCTTCACACACATGATTCCTGTCCCTCGTTAGGGCTATGCGTCCTTAAAGACTAAAACTTGAGATGTTCAATCCAATCTATTGCAACTCAAAAAATCATTAAAAAAGAAGGCAGAAGACAATATGAAACCATTGAAAACGGCCACACAATATCCATACACCATGGAAATACGTTAACACCCGTGCGCAAAAATAAATTGCCTCCAAAGAAACTTCATAACACGAAATACCAGCACGTTCGCAACGCCGGCCAAAATTTCGAAGAAAATGTAGATCCTGCTGCCTCGAAGCTCTGCCTTATTGCCTTCTGATTACTTAAGCTGATTGTATTGTAGATTCGTAATCCTTTACTAGCTCTTCATAACCACCTCAAGACTCAGGTCTCCTCTTACAATTTCTTGTCTGGCGCTGTTGTCGTCCGGAAACCGTTCGCAACTTGATATTCAATTGCACTCAAAGGCACTGTTTTCAGATAATGGAGGGTGGAATGACTCCCATGCCTGGTGGGGCAGCTGCTGGCCCGAAATCGACTAGTATGATCTACATTTGTGGAGGTATGCCGGATGTTAAATCTTTTTTTTTTCGTTTTCTTCGTGATTTTACTTGACAAATCGTGATAACTGGCTTCCATAGTATCGACCTTAAATGATCATTGTGAGATTTTCTCTTCACATAAACGATGAATATTCCCGTACGCTGTATCTGTGGTTGTTCTTTTCACCGTAATCTTGTCGAGTCAAGCATAATGCTATACCCAGCCATCCGTTCCATAGTTGAGACTTCGTCCTATACTTCCATGAAGGCGAAACTGATGTCGCATAAACCGCAGTTGCAAATTGGCAAAAGGACGACCAAGCAACGCGGTGCTAACTTAGTTGGGGGGGCCACGCGGCGGCGCGGCAGTCTGCTCACCTGGGCTCTCTCGAGCGAGACAGTGTAAACTCGAACATTCCAGCTTTTCACGCATGTCAAGTGACTGCCCCCACCCCCCACCCCCCTAGACTGCCTACACTCCCCCCCCCTGGCCCACGGATTTCCGAACATGCCAGGCGAGCAGACTGCCGCGCCGCCGCGTGGCCCCCCCCCCCCCACTAACAGCTTAGGCACCCGCGCCGGCAACGCGTCAGCCTCATTCAATAAATGTCCAAAGAACATTTTACGAGGGAAGACAACGCCATGCACAACGCAAAAATAGGATATACAACGTCAACTAAAATGAACTCAAAAAAGGCAATAACACAGTACACAACACAAACCAAAGATTGTGCGTGTTTAATCCATTAGACTCGAATGTTCTGGCCGACACGTAATCAAATCATCCGACAGCTCCACCCTCCGCGCCTCAGAACGCCCCTACATCGGCATCCCTTCCGGCCTCCACCGCATCCGCTAAAATGTAACGCTCAATCCGCGCTCGTGACGGCTGTAACCGCAGTCTAGTCAGTCGATGTAATCGCTTGGTCGCTTCATCGCATCTTCGCATAATAGCCGAAGTCTCAAGCCATGAACGGGGCCTAAATGAAAGCTGAGAAGAGCACTTCCTGCTTTTCTTCTGTCTGCCAGCGCCTCTGCCTTCTTAATTGGAGTAAATTATCTACCAAATAATAAATAATTAGTGGTAAGTTTGGTCGAATTCTGCAGCAATTGCAAGATGGTGCATGCACTGATCCCCTCACCGATTTGTGTCTCAATATGGTATAGATGTAGCCTTCCTTGTCCATGGACTGTTTGATTTCACAAGAAATCGGCTGTCAAAGGAACCCGTACGAAATCTTCCAAGAGAATTCCAAAGCGGTCGCTGGTATTTGGATTCCTCAACTTCTTCTTCTTCTTCTTATACTTTAGCGTTTGTCCCGCTTGGTGACGGGGTCCGCATTTGGATTCCTCAACGATCCTCGAATTTAATTTGAGGCTGTCCCCTTCAGCACTTCCACTGTATATTTATCTTCTTGGTTTTCCATTTCTCTTCTTGATTTATGGGGTGTGGTTCGCTAGGACAGAAAGCGAGTTTTACGCTTTTCGCAGCGCGAAACCTCGCTGTGAGACCATCAGGTCCACTGCTTAGTGCTGCGAAAAGCAAAAAGAGTGGCCGCACCCTGATTCATGTCCTATTAACAAAGACATTTTTCAAAAGGGTCTTAAAGAGGTCTTACGAGTATTTTGTTTTAGTATTGGTGGGCAAATGTCATACTTTTATTTCAGAATGTCATTATGAAAACGAAATCCGTCCCAAGGACGCTATTCGATGTCGAGAGTGTGGCTACCGAATCCTATACAAGAAAAGGAGCAGGAAATGTTAGTTTTACGAAAATTAATACGAATATTTTTTGAGAATTTCATAAAAATCGAATCGTATTGATCGTCTCTATTTTTTAAACCCACACTGTTTTCGGGCGGGTTCGAGGCTCACTTGAAGTTCAACAGCTGCCTTCTTCACATCTTGAAATTATTTTCGCTTGTCTTGGTTCAAAATTACAAGGCTTTTGCGGCAATTTGGGTCAGCTATCGCACATATGAATCAATGCTCGCGCTGCTCGTTTATTCCCAGCGTTTCAATGATTCCTCTAGGGCTGGTTCAGAGTCTGCGATCCGTCGCAGGTTTCGCTGATTTTCGCGAGCGCGACTCACGCGATTTGCGCGAAACCTGCGACGGATAGTCGCAAACATTGCAAGCGCCCCATTTGAACACTTATGAAACAAGTGGAATCATGAGCAGTCGCCAGTCAGCCATCACTATCAAGCAGAAGTGGCGGTAGGATTGGAGAACACCTTGCAGTATTGATCGGGCACTTGTGATTTCCGTGACCTGTCGCGCAAAATGGACAGGCGCGAAAATCCTTGAATCGCCACTCAGCGAAACCTGCGGCGGTTCGTCGGAAATTGAACACAGCCAGAATGAATGGAATAGGTCTTAATGATTTTATCTGGAAATGGAAGAGTTAACTCTTCCACATTATATAAACAATTTCGTTTCAAGCTCCCTGATTCATCTGAATCGATCGTATCGTACTGTGATACAATCAACTACTCAACAATCTTCCTGTCTTTTCTTGTATTCATTTTCCCTTTAAACTTTCGCACTCAGTAGTCAGTAATATCGACGCGTAAACTATGTTATTCATGTTTTCAGTGATGGTCATGCTCGTAAACGACACAAGTCGGATATGCAAACAATTTTTGAAATTTCATTTTCATTGTAAGATTTTGTAAAGGTATTTTGTTGATGGGTGATAAATAAATTGTCTGCTTATGTCGTGTCTTATTCCCAGAAACAACGCACTACCTCGTGGATAACCCTGAACATTGTAAAAATTACCTGAACTTGATTTGATTCTGAAACTGATTTCCTCTAGCGCATTTCTACTGCATTGAAAATGGACTGGCCCGCGTACAGACCGATATTGAAAGAAACGAAAGAGATATGCCACTGTGGTGTCCTCATCATGGTAAGAGAGCAACGAATGAGGAGCACGAGTGCGCTTCCGGGGCAGCTGCTTCCTTATCACGTAGCATCATAAAGCACGGGAAGAGTTCTGCAACTTCCAGAACCTTGGCATGTGTAAATTTTGGAGACGCAGCATGATAGATTAGATCGCGTAGTATTGTTACAACTTTTCACCTTCTGAGGTGCACTCACACTACTGTCGTAAGAACTGCGATTGCATCGCGTGATTATAGTAGCTCTGCTAGAGCGACTGCATCGCGCATCTTTATGAGTTTACCCAGTCCACACCGTATGCTCTAACTGCAGTTCCTTAGACGCATCAGACTTTGTGAATCAAGCGAATCGCTATATCCCCAAAGGCTGACCCCGGCCTTCCCTCGATCCTTTCCATCATTGACGTGTGCTACTCGCATCCGCCTCTAAGATAGCCCTTCAAACCACTGTAAAATTCACTTTCTGAAGCGATTAAGTGGAAAACTGAGTGGAGAGTTTTCAAAATTAGAGCTGGAACAGTAGAGGCGTTCAAAAATGTAGAAGCAAGGGGAAAAACGGGCATGTTGAGTAAGTCATCGAATGGATGAGCAATACTGCTTAATCTTCCCATCCATTTTCTCGAACTTTCAGTAAGGCAGCTACCAGATCGATAAGGCTCTACCCTTTCAGCAAACTTGTACACGGAAGCTGGAAGCTACAAGGCTATGGGTACGCTTAAATGAATAAATAAAATGAATTGAGCACCCACTCGCTATTTGACAGATTGGCCAGAAGCTACGGAGCTTCTATATCAGACACCGACCGCTTCGCAATTGCGCGCTCAATTGTCATGCTATTGGCCACCAATGACTGCTGCAGAAACCGTTGAGATTGGTTAGTTACCTTATCTAGCGCAAGAAAGAGCATCAGCCCTTGGGCCAGCTGTAATCCTATCAACGACAGGCAGAAAACACAGTGAAGTAGAACGCTTTATTACAATTGTAACAAATGTACGATTTATACGGACAAGGGCGGCGCCCGACCGGGTGGATGATACGTGCACGCATGACGACTAGATGGTACAGAAGTGGGCGTGCAGTGATCAGACAGGAATTATGATGTGAATGATGATGATTTTGGGCAAAGTAGATCAAACCGACGACTATCGCTCTCAATACTTGTAACGCGTAACAATGAGGAAAGAGAATTTGGTGAGATGAAAAACGGGATGAAAGGAGGGCCGCCGCGGCCGTTTGTACCCGACACAGAAGATCAGAGACAATGCACGACGGACTCTGGCTGAGAAGGAAGCGATTTCGGTGTCATGACACCTAGACACCATAACAGCTTGAGGGGGACGGGGTTATAAACACATGGTGGGGGTGGCGCGAGCTTGGTGACGTAGTCAGGGCAGTGACTGCAATGACAACATCTCAAGACACACTATCATTGATGGTGAGGGGAGGCGCTATAAATACAATGCGATGAAGTGGTGGTAGGGAGGTGATTGGAGGTGAACACGATTGTAGTGGAAACACACAGAGCCTGACTGATCGAGCACGCGTGACGCACTCCACGAGGCGTGCAGGCGACCGCTCCGCTCTCCGAATACACTACGACGCCGGACGAGGCGCTGACGCGCCCATCGATGGTGCTGTCGCTCCGCTACCACCACCGAACATCGCCGGCAGTTTCGGCCGCTCTTCCAGCTCTTTGTATTCCAATTTTCAGCTCTTTGGGGATCTGAAACAATAAAGTGAACAATAACTATGGCAACAAAAGTTCACTAAATGTTAATGAACAAGGAGGGCTTCATGAACAAACGTTGCAAATCACACCTTTCGCCATTGCAATGGATCGAACACGTTGTATTGCCCCTTCTCATACGACCCAGTTTGCTCCTTGACACCACCGTATTGCGACCGCGTCAACCAATTACCGTCTCCCTTATGGAATCGCCAATCTCGTTGGTACCTAAAAGAATCGAAGTGCTGCTCTCTGCAAATTTCACATCATTTACGTCAATCTCAGCATTTGCAAATGTTATGAAGATTGCTGCGAGGAATTTTGATTCCTTCACTATGATATCAGCAGCTGGAAATGGCCTATCACCACAGCAAAACAATATTTAGACCGGGACTTAAAAGAGGATCTTTAATCGGGTTTCATCTATCTCATTCAGTAGGGGGAGTGAGCATGTGTTGCGGGAGTTCATGTTGCCTGGAGTAATCCAATTTTTTCGAGCTCCGGGATGGGTGTTAAGGCAAAAGCGAGATGGTTCACGCACCCGTGAATTTCCTAGGGGAAGCTATTTTACGCTGGCTGATTATGCTCGGTAGCGATAAAAAGCGAAAAATCTCCAATTATTCACTATGCATATTATCAATGGTCCTTAACACCTATTCAAAAATACTCGATCTACATTTGATGGCAAAGGTCCCCAGGCCACTGAATAGGCCTACCAAATTGGTCAAATGCCGGAATATCAATCCGAAACAACTCAGAATTATCCAATAACAAATATGTATTGATATATCAACGTTCACATTATCTAATGCATGGTGAAAAAAAGTATATAAAACTCACAACTCGCAAGCAGCCGCTAATTGATAGACCTCGCCTGGACAATTGTAAAACAAGTAAAACAATACGTCCTCTGACAACTTGTTTAACTTTACCGGAGGCAGCTTTTCCCGAATTTGAGCATTTGTCAAGTAGTCATCGGGTACCTTGAAAAAATAATCGAATGGAAGCAAACGGATTAGAAAAAAGCCACGTTGAAAACATACTTTCACGTCCAGCTCGTGCGGCCGAATCGGATTGTCAGCCCAGGGACCACCGAAGGAGGTGTATAGATGTCGTCTGTAAATCTATTTTTGAGCCCACTGAAAGACCTGGCAAAGAAACCCTACTACATAAAAATCAGAAGTTTGGGGTGTCTGTCTGCTTGTAAAATGAAATGCAATAGCTCTACTAGCAATACTCACAAAGGACTACAAAGGCTGATAAAACGTACTCAGACAAATTCAGGTTAAGTCCAAGGGTAGTGAGATCGTAGCCGAGAGCTAGTGACACTATGGACGGGTTGTCAACAGTCCGCAGGTAGGTGACGAGTCCTGCCATGCCAAACTGATCGGCTAGCATCGTTGGAGGAATGTTCGACACTTCTCCTTAAAAATTCGTACTAATTTTTTCAAGGTGACAGCTACACAAGTATATTGTTGATAACTTCAACATTGAAGTACCTCGTCTGGGACTTCACTTTACGGGGAACAATGTATCACCTATGACAATTACCTATGCTGAACTTACACACCGAGCCCACAATTTTACAAAACACGACATCAAATACCGCAAGTGATTAGAATGTAAAATAAAAATAGAGGGCTATTCGCAAATAATCACTATTCACTTAGCCAAAAGCTCTTTGGTATATAAATCACGGAGTATGCTTTACCAAAATCTGCAGTTGGCATCTGTACAAACCGAATTCCAGTGCTAGTTCATATACGGGAGTGTTCACATTTAATACGATCAATACGTAACTAGGTCACCTTCACCAAATGCTCATGAAGTGCGCAGAGCACTACGATTACACAACACTACTGAAGGGAAGAATCTTGCAGAATGATTCTCAACAAGTCCACTTGCGAAGCTTCCAGGGTTATAACTCGAGCAAATCGAGCTAGTTCAAATCTGCTGCTCAACTCTTCAAACTTCGTGCCGTAATGACAGATGGGACGTATGCGTTAGAACATTTCACTAAGGAATCCCACAAATGTTAACGAGAAGCCTTGTAAAGGCTAAAACTCGAGAGGAGATGAAAGGAGTGCTTGGAAAGGAAAAATGAAGCAGACAAAATTGACAAAAACCTGAAAGAATAAAGTAATGAGATGTTCAAAATAATGTAAGAACGGTCTGTAATGAAGAGATGAAGAAGGTCACGAAAGGGAGAGAACCAAGAACTGTATGAGAAAGAATCATCATTCATTGTTATTTATCGTCCGAGACTAAAACAACTGCAGAACATGCGTCAAGTTCATTCAGCAATTGTGGCAATCTTCACGACTCGCGGCACGAAAAGGATAAATCATCAGTCCTAACCTAATAAATGATCGACCAACCGGTTTACGCTTCAATTACTAAATATAGGCGCAATAAAAAGGCAAAAAAATAAATG